TCGAGTCTGCTCAACACCACAGCAGGATTTTGGCAAGCTACTGTAGCATGTAATTCACAAACTATCTGTGGACATAATTTAAACTGGATTATTGCCAAACCGTACATAATAAATATTTCACCATTACATTTTTATTAGCATTTCCAGTAGCTTACAACTAAATATGCTAATGAAACACACAAAGTTTTACTGACGATAGTTTAATTATGCATATATTTTGATGATAGCATGTTTTTTATTTTTTTGCATGCTATTGAACTGTTTTCTAATCATATTTTGTTGTTAAATAAAGTGGAATAAACTAAATGAGAATCCGCACACTTCAATCTGTGATGTAGTTTATAGGTCAAGCTTTCGGTCAGAGACCTTCAATTCCTGATGAAGGCCTCTGACCGAAAGCTTGACCAATAAACTCCTACATCACAGATTGAAGTGTGCGGATTCTCATTTAGTTTATTCCACTTTTTGATCCAGCACCTTTTCCCAGACGAGCAGTGACTCCTTCTACTCTATTTGTTGTAAAAGAAAGTAAAAGAAGGAGAGAAAAAATGTTTCCCTAGCAGTTTTTATGAAGGTAATTGAATTAATGACATTTGTCAGATATGTGGGGTCTTTTTAATCTGTAAAGCACTTCGAGTTACATTTTTTGTATGAAAAGCGCTTTATGAAAAAAGTTTGATTTGATTTGATTGAAAATTTCCCGTTTAATCCAAAGATTCGAGTCGAGACCCCATTCAATTCATCATCTTTTGTTGCAGCCCAAAAGCTAACCAGAACTCCCCCAGGCTTGTGTCATTTGTGGAGATGAAACATCAATCATTTAGTTTTAAAAAGTGAGAATAATCAATGTATTTACCAACAAAAACTCCTCATTTGAAGCTTCATCTGGTTGTTTTTAGTTGCATTTGCTCTCAGTTTATCCTGCAAAATTCACCCGGCTACTTTATTTCCTTTATAACCTCCTTTTTCAGACCTTTTTCTTTTTAATGCTACTAAGCTCCTTAAAATTGCCTCCATCAGGTCTTTATTGCACACTTGAATAATGTGGCACATTTGTCTGGAAGCATGTTTGTTGCTGTTTTTCTGGATGGTGTGAAAAGCCTTTTGATTTATCGTGGAGAGGGATCTAGTGACCATCCAACACGCTTTACTTAAGTGGACATCAGTTCATGTTGATGGTGCACATCTCTGATGAATTATTCTGCGTCTCAGAATGGCGCACGCTGTTGATTTGGCCACACCTAACGTTCCCGCTATCACTCTGATGGATTTGTTTTGTTTTGCTTTTGCTGCCCCTGGATGATAAATTTCATTCTCTTTGAGAGCTGCTTTGGCTGCTGAGCTCAAGGTTGACAAAAACCACTTCCAAATTGCAAAATGCCACACTTGGAAAAAAAATTGCAGCCCTTTCCCTCGTTTAACTGATGATGAAATTACAGGGAAAGCTTGAACAAGTCAATGGAAAAGCGTTTGAGTTAACTGTCCAGCTGCTGAGAAAAATACATAAATCACTGCAAAAAATCTCAAAGTAACAGTGGATTTTTTTTTATCAGCAGCCATGTCTTTACATCACGTGGACACACACCAAATCAAGCATGTAGCCCCACTGTATGAACAACATTGTGTGTTTCAGCCCAGGAGCCTTTGTGTTGCTATTAATATCTGGCCAGAACTGAGGGTGCTCCTGTAGCGACACAGGTGGATGTTTTTCTCATTATTTCAAATCTTAAAGCCATGGAAGCACCAACAATCGCAGCTACATCCATGAAAACAGTGAGATGGATTTTTCTGAAGCGCAATTTCACCCTTTTCCCACATTTTTAGCTCTGTGGAGACGGGAAGGGAGTTAAATCTTGTAGAGGAAACAGACAGGATATTGATTCTCCACATTTGTTTGTTAGGATTTGAACTTGTGTGTTACAAGGTGTCCTGTAATTAAGGGTGTCCGAGCTGATATTAGTGATTCAGGAGGATGTGGATTTCCCTACCTTTCTACTGGATGTGTAAGCGGTGCATAACGTAATAGCTGCTGATGAGCGTTTGAGACGCAAAACGGCAGCAAAAGCATTCCACGCGTCTGGTTCGCATCAGTTCACAAAATCAGTATTTAGTTGCAAAACTGCATGTGATTTTGTCAGTTCACGTAATAACTTCTAGGAGAAAGACGATAGCGTGCATCTAGAAAGGTCTACTGTAAAACTGTTTCTCACTGAAACATCAGAGGTTTCACAGGTAATGATGTACTTTTTTTACTAAGCAAATGTAAATCTGTACCTGACTTTTATTTTGAAAATTTCCAGATGTTTTACACTCCTTTCTTGTTTAAGTGCAGCATGAAAAAAAATCTGACTCGAACTGCAAGCAACGCTTCTAGAACGCTTCAAAAACTGAACAAGTGTGGTGGGTGAAACACGCCCATTCATTATGACAGTGGCTAATTGTTGTGTACTATGTTTTGTGGACGTTACGCGATGCATACGCAAAACATACGCACCTGGTGGAAAGGGTCGGCAAGGTTTCTCTCTAAAATATCCCTCCTGCTCAGCTGTGCCCCCTAGGGGTGGCCTAGAAAGTTGCTGGCCCTGCAGGGAATACCTCCTATTTTAATGAATCATATTCATGTTCGCACAAATCATACAATTATCTTTTTTAATTAATAAATAAGTGTAATACCCTTTAAAAATGTATAATTAATGAGTAAATAAATACATCATAATTGAAACAGGTGTGTGTAGATCACTGCTACTCGTCATTTCTAAATAAAATCATACTGTTTGTGGATACTTAGTGAAAACAGCAACGTGCATTAAACTTACAAAATTCGAAATAAATAAATGTTGAAATAATGATGCAAATAAGAATTAGAAAAAATGTTTTCTTAAATGTTTCTGTTTCTCAAATTTGAGATAAATGTGTTGGATGCATTTATTTTTTTTTTAATAAAAATGAATGCATTGTACAGCCACAGGCCAAACTCTCCCAGAGTTACAATATGAGCTACCATACATTTTCCCTGGCCCCCCTATGAATTTTTTTCTGGGGGCGCCACTGCTCCCACTCCCTCTCTTTTTTTTTTTTCCTATGGTAGGAAGTCCTGGCTGTGTTGCTCAGATGACACTTCATGCGAACAAAGTCTGCAATTATTAGCAACTTATTTCACACTCATTTTGGGTTTCATTCATTTTAATAGCTGCTTTGGTTTTTGTGGCGCTCGCCGCCGACGCCGCTTCCTCACACTTGCCTTCCTTTTTTCTCCTGTTGCGTAGACTAAATGATTTAGCTGAACAGGGAGCCTTCTGAATTAATGCTGTGAAATTGTGAACATTTAGATTCACAGTTTAAAAGAACGCCCCGTAAGTTCCAGGGAGACAGAGAGGAAAACGATTCCACATCTTGGCAGCATTTGCTCCTTTTGGTCAGGTTGCCATGGCTCTTTTACGTGTGTCTGCCGGTATGAGGTTTATTCAGTTACCGTTCAAGATAAAGCATTGCTGTTTGTAATGTCAGCCACTGAGCGCTAAAGTGAATGAAGCCTGTGAGTTATGAGGCTGTTATCTCTGACCGTTTGCCCCCCCGTGTCTTCTGCACCCTTGCAGCCTGGTCTCACTTGTTGACAGAATCTCTCACTCTCTCTGTATCGTTTCATCTCTCTTCTCTTTAACACACACACTCCCAGCGTCTCGCTTCTTCTTACAATCCACCCGAATGTCAAAGTGAAAGTTCTTGAATTTGATCTGGGGCTTTTTGGGCTCTCCATGTCTTTGCAGGACGAGAAGTCCACTTTCTTCCAGTTTGGCGCGGCTCTGCAGCAGGAGGCTCTGCTCATGCTTGCCATCATGGAGGAGTACGACTGGCATGTTTTTTCCATCGTAACCTCCAAGTTCCCCGGTTATCAGGCTTTCATCACTACTCTGAGGGTGACGGTGGATCACAGGTGTGAATACAAACATTGTTTTCATCTTTTAACCGTAATTTCCAGCTGCTGAAAAGATTCACTACTTTGTGTTGTTTAACGGTGTGTTGTTACAGCTTTGTGCGCTGGGACCTGCAGAGTGTGGTGACGTTAGAAGCTGTAGACGGCGACCCCAACTCCAAATCACACATAGCCCTCAAGAGGATACAGAGCCCTGTTATACTGCTGTACTGCTCCAAGGATGAGGCTGTGTGAGTGTATTTCATTTTCCTGTGCTGTTTGTGTCATACCCTGCCAGGTTTCAGCTGTAAATCTGTCTCCTCTCTTTGACAGATATATCCTGGAGGAAGCTCGGTCGTTAGGTCTGATAGGAGCTGGTTACATCTGGATTGTGTCAAGCCTCACCACTGGAAACCCAGACTTTACCCCTGAGGTAGTACAGTCCCCCAAGTAGTAACAGGTGGCCACTTTCAGGTGGTTTGACAGGACAAGGAATGTTTGTGATTGCAGGCTTTTGTAGTTCATCCACTTCTTGACCTGAATTTCTCTCTCTTTTAAAAACTGGTGCCATGGCTATAACAAGCTCAACAAGTTAGAGAAAGAAAAAGTTAAAGACCAAGTTCACTGAGAATCTGTTTTTATTTGTTATTTTTTAAATATGAGCAGTCACTCTGAGTTTAGCATGCAGGCTAAAGTGAAAATAATTCTCAACCCCTATTTCCTGCATTAGCCGCGATAAAGCACAGACGGGGAAACTCTCGGATTAGAAAAACCAGTCACATCTACCTCACATTCAAAATTCACATTCATGGACTCGCCCATCTTTTCTTGCAACAGGGCAGAGCTGTAGAAAGAGAGAGTTGTGACACTCCAATAGACTTCTATGGAAAAACTGGAATGCGGGAGTCACGTGGTTCATGTAGCTTCGAATAGTTCCAAACAGCCCCCACTGCTGCATTGACCGCAGTTCATTTTCGGTGTTTCGGAAGGATTTTCTCCGGTAAGTTGATGAAATGTCATCATTTTCTTGCATTGTGAAGCGTTAGCTAACCGCTTCGTACCAAAATAAGCCAAGGATGATATTTTATGTTGCCAGTTTTAGCTAGATAACCTTTAATGAGCTAATTGTGTGCAGCTTGTTGATTGTAAGCAGGAGGGTTTAGACAAGCTTGTCGAGCTGTAGATTGATTTATTTCAGTTTGTTTGATTCTACGTTTTAAAAATATTCCCCACAGTTTGAAAAAGGTTATAAACTTTTTACATTATTAGTTTAATTTGGGAATTTTTGTACAATAATTTGTATCAACACGAACATGCATCAGAAATGGAAGCACAAATGGAGAGACCAATAATAAAGAAAATGTGATTGTGAAGAAAAGTAATTATTTAATATTTTTCAGTTAATAACGCTGACTGCAACAAACTGCTGAAGCATGAGACAAACAGGATAACGAACGTAAGATATGTTGTTCTGTTTTGTGTACTCAAGTAATGAGAATAAAATAAAGATATTTCAAGAATAGTAGTCAATTAACTTTTAAAAATGAGACATTTTCCATAAAACTGCTCATTTCCACTTGCTTTATAATATTAGCATTTGCAATTTTGTTATTAAGGAATGACAAGAAATAAGAATTAACAATAACACAATTGTCAATAAATAAATGTCAAAGAGTTACTAAAACAAAGATCTTATGTAACCATTAAAGGTTAAACTGTGTTGTGTGTCCATCTTCATGTTTTCATAGTGGCTGAGCGGAGAGCTGACCAGGAACAACGCTGGTGGCAAAACCCAGTTGGGTCTGTGATGGAGTGATGCACGCCTGGAGTGATTGCCATCTCATCCACAGTAAGCACACACTCTCTTTCCATCTCTGTCAGATTTTTAACATCCAAACTGAGCACGTCACACACCTCTCCTAACACACCTGGTTCCAGTTAATGGGCTGCATTTGTCTTTGCAGGGTTCTAACACCAGGCAGAGGGATACTCGTGTCCTGAAGAAACCTGTAGCCTGTTGAACCCACTGAAAAACAGAGTTGTACGGCCTTTTTGATTGTCTGTTTATTCCATTTAATGCCTCTTGTGTTTTTCATGCCTTTTTTACTTTCTGTTTCCTCCCTTAGGTTTTCCAGCTGGGTTCCCTGGTTGCATCGCCTGTTCCTTTCTCCTCCTGGCTGTGACGAACCTTGTCCCCTCAGTCCATCTTCTCATCTCTACCTGAGCCTGTTGTACCCACTGCCAAGGATTCAGCAACAGGGACAGCGCCAGAAACGGCTTGCTCACTCTCTCCAGCGCCCCAGCACCAGTTCAGGACCTCGGAGAGAGGCACGCCAGAGAAGACCGCAGCTGATCTGAATCAGCGATGAAGCAGCTCCCAGGACTTAAAAGAGGAGCGAAGCAGACAGTCAGGAGATCCAGAATTAGTCTGTTATTCTCCCGAGTTCATTGACACTTCTTGCTAAGGCTAAATCTTTCCTGTATCATTTCTGGTTGTTTCTGCGGAGATCCAGAAATAGTCTGAATTTCTCCTGAGCTCTGTTTACACTCACTGCTACAGCTAACTTTTAAGGCATTTGCTAAGGGTTTGTCAATAGGGATTTGGCTTAATTATCCTCATTAGAAGGATTTATCTGACAGAACGTCAGTTTATTTAGGTTGGTGGCTTTTTTCCCCATTGGACTTTTGAGCCAGGTATATTTTCAGTTAGGTGGTTGTGATTTACGTTTGGCAGAAAGCCATTTTCTTAAGCCGTTATTGCTTATGTTTTCAGTTTCCACCTTTGTTTAATCACCATTATCATTCAGCCCTATTTTGACGTTCAGACACGGACACCCCTTTGTTAATAAATCCTTTTGGTTTTACGCTCACCACCTCGTTATTTATCCACACACACTCTCGTACACCTATGTTCCTGTGTTAGTCCCCTCATCCTCCTAGACCTTCAGGAAGGGGCATAACACTGGCCCTGATTCCGGCTCCTCATGGCTTCCTGGGATGTCCCTCTCTCCTGATACCATCTCATGTCCCCCCACACTTTCCCTCATCTCATTTGCCTCACTGCTGCTGCTGCTTTCCTTATTCTCTGTATTTATAATGGCACTGTTAGAATAAAGAATAATTTTAAAATAAAATAAATAAAAATGTCTTAATATTTCAAAAGATTCATACCACAGTTTACTTGAGTACAATATGTGTGGTCACTGGTCAGTGGATCAACATGCAGTGGTTCTGCTGTACTTCTCACTGCGGGGTCCCTCCTCCTCCTTGGTTCAGGGCGATGAACAAACACAGCATCAGCCCTGAGTCTCACCTTGCCTTGCCTAGTCTTAGTAAACTGTCCCTCCTCAAAATGTGCCTGTAGAGTGGTGTATTAGTTTATTTCCTGCCACATTTAACAGTTTAATTGCAGCCTTGTGCAGTTGAGAGCAGAACATGTAGAGCCTTGATAGAAAACATTTGAGAGTGCACGTTAAACTCACTGCACACAGCTTTTTGTTATTGTGATCTCTGTTCATGGTGAGGTTGCTCCTGCTGACTGGAGCCAACCATTTTCTTCTTCTCTCTGCGTCTTTGGGGAAGCCGTAATTCTGATTCCTCCCTCAGAACGATTGCTATATGCAGCGCAGCCAATCATGTAAGATAATCAACCTAGAAAGGGATTGTTAAAATACTATTTTTGTACATATAGAAATATTGAACTAAACAAAAAATATAGAGATGTAAAATTACATTTTAAATTTTTATCCAACCCTAAAATTTGTCATTTCAAAATTTAACCCACAGACACATTTTATTTTAATAATACTCAAAATAAAGTTATTCAAAAGAGTTTCATTAGGTCTTGAGTACATTTCTCATAATTAATGATTCAGCTTATTTGTGCATATGTAATGACTAAACATAATGTTGGTAAAATGCTTTATTAAAATGCTATTATACATGTTGTACAAGTTTCGTGTTCATTTTTTTCATCATTAACACTTATTTATCTACTGTGATGAACCGTACAGTTTTACTGAAAATATCTTTTTAATTAGTTGCTATAGACGCCAGATAAACTGGGTTATAGATGCATGTACTGTATTCGCATAAAAATATAAAGTAATGACTGTAAAATGTATTCTGCTGAACATAATAGATCATCATTCAAAGCACAAACAGCTACATATTTTCTTCAAGGTAAGCTGGAGCAGAATTCTAGCTTTTAATAAACCACTTTTGAATTTTGAATTGAGTTTAGGGCTTCTTGTAGGACTTAAAGTTATTAAATATGCTTATATTAAAGCAGTGTGTTGTATTACTACGACAAATTTATTGCTATAACATATTGTAGTGTATCTGAATATCAGGAATTAAGACTCCAAAAGCCTGAAGCTCAACTCCTGCAGAAGTTTTTTTCCTCACAGAGATCAACTCACAGGACATTCATTTATTCCAGAGAGCACACAATTGTGTTGTAGAAACAAGTGAACTTGGTCTTTAAAGAAGCACGGGTATTATAGTATTAATGATAGCAACTATTATTCTTTGTTTGAATTCTGCAGCAGTCACGGTAAACACTGCCTTTGTTTTATTCACATTTCCTCCACCTAACATCTGCTTTGCCCTAAACCAGGCTGTTGAATACCATCACATGCAAATATTATCTAAATATCACCCATGTAAATTATCTGTATGGTACAACCATAGACCTGCAAGAAAATAATTAAAATTTTGTGCTCAACAGAAACAAGGACAGCAATGTGCATTACCTAAATGTCAAGTAATTCATAACTGCATCCCTCTGAATTGTTGCTTTTTTTTTTTTTTTTTTTTTTTTTTTTTTTTTTTTTGCAAGTTGATAAGTGGGGGCTTTTCCTCTTATGGAGAATATAAAACAAGGAGAGCGGGAAAGTTAGAAAAAAAAACTAAAATTATCAGCAAACAAATATGCATTAATTTCTGATGCACAAGCTAAAATACATCAAATTACTGTTAAAAATCTGAGTGAATGTGAGTGCTCTACCAGCACTGGCAGGATAGATGTGCATCTGCAGCAGGACTCCACAATCAGACTAAAAGGTCTGATTTTGAGACTTCAAAAGGGAAAAAGATAAAGGGAAAAGACCAACTAACAGCAGTAATCAGGAGGGACAGAATGAGCCATAGTGCCGCTAATCAGAGCTGCAGTATCCGTTCTTCTAAAATAATATGCTGTAAAATGTGCTGGAATGTGTTTCAGGCTTTGTAGGGAGTATCTGAGAGACATTTCAGCCACTAAAATCTAGTTGTAATCAGTGAAAAAGGGCTGATGTGAGAGAATTATCTGACAGGACACATTTCATCATCAGTGACACATGGAGGTTAAATAATGTGACATCAAAAGTGTAAAAGGTGCTGAGAAAATATATTTACAGTTTACATAATTTGTCCTCAACACAAACAAAGTAACTCTCAAGCTTAAAGAGTAAGTTGCTCTCCTAGCAGAGCCTTACTCTACCCACACTTCCTGTCTGACAAAAGGAGGTGTCATCTGGTGGACCAATAGCGCAGTGCTGACGCAGTCACTGACACCCCCACACACCCCAACTCCCACATGCTCTCAATAGTCTCCCCCTACGAGAACGGACCTGCTAACAAGCACACACACACACACATGGCTCAGTCTGAGGAGCAGACAGAAAAATAGCAGCAAGCAGTAGCATTTCTAACCTCCTTGTTCACTAGAAAAAAGGGAGGTTGTTTTATTTTCTATGCTTAGAAAGAAGCAAGCGGCTCTGAGCCGTATCGTTTCAAACCGGCTCTTGAGTGGCTGAACCAGCTGGAGACCTGGCCGAGACGCGGCCGCAGTGCAGTTCAGCCATAGCCTGGCCTGCCAGACTCGTCCTCTGTTTAATTCTGCAGAGAAAGAGTCTGGAAACTCACAGGCAGAGAGGCGCATGAGGGGCGGGACTAGGCAGCTCAAAAATAACCAATCAGAAAAAAGACGAAAATGCCAACTGTACAATGCTGTACTTTTTTAGCTGTAGTAAAAAATGGCTTCTGGCAACAACACAAACATCTTTTATTCTTTTAGAAGAAAGGCTTTGAACACTTCTACTTGTTGTGGTTTTAAAGACATTCAAGTCATTTAGAACAGAGGAAAGAGCCGCAGCAAGCTCCGCCGCTGTCTTCATTGTTCATGAGAAATTGAGCGTCGCTGTGTGTGAGACGTCTGCGACGCTGTAGTTTGTTAGCTGTAGTCAAAAATGGTGTCTGGCGACAGCGCAAACATCTTTCTTTAGAAGAAAGGCTTTTAGCGCTTCTACTTGTTGTTGTTTAAAGGCGTGTCCAAGTCATTTAGAACAGAGGAAAGAGCTGCAACAAACTCCGCTTCAGTCGCCATGTTCCACAAACTCAGAGTTATGGTGTGTGACCAAGCCCCCACAATGCGGGTGAAAAATTGAGGCCATCCCGGAAGTACCAAAAATTGCAGTTCCACCCTCATCCACTGGGGGCTGGTGTCAGAAGCGAGCAAATCCTCATTGACTCCCATGTTAAAAATACCAATTTCACAGCAGAAATAAACATGTTTACTGCCTGGTACCAAAACATGTTTTTTGTTTAAATTATCTAATTTACACATGACAACTCTGAGGGGGGCAAATTTTTTCTCACTCTTCTGTTTAAGTGTATTTAAAGCCTAAAATTCTGCATAGTTAATGAGCATCAGACCCACGTGACCACAGAGCTAGCTCCGTGGAAAGGCCTCAGTAGAGCCTCGGTCTGGCTTGGAAACTGTTCCAGGATTTTGAGTCTCTGTGTGTGTGTATTCTTGTTTGGATATTTTTTGTGCAATTGTTGGACAAAATGACTTGCTGTGGCATTAATTGCACTAATAGAGCGTCCAAGGAGTCTCCACTTCATTTTTTTCGGTAAGTAAAATTATATTTATGTATTTTAGGTCACTGCCGAGCTGAGCTTAGATTTTAACATGTACTGTTTAACCATGAAATTTAAATGTAATAGGGTAAAACCCAGTGAATTTAACATAATGCTGCACTTTAGAAAATGGGTTGAAATATAGCATGTTGGTGGAGCTGGGTTCCCACTATCGGCTTGTGGTTCTCCCCGCAGCTCTGCGCATCTCAGATTGCAGCGGCGCTTGTCTGCTGTGCGGCTGCCGGCTTGTGGAGGTCTCGGAGACCTCTGTGTTCCACCCGGTTTTACCCAGCGGTCAGCCCGGCGTAGCTCTGACTCAGAAACTCTGGTGTTGTTCACAGTTAACTCCGGTTGTAGCTAGGTTGCTACCTCTGTTAGATTAGCCCTGGGTGGCAATTTGACAACAGAGGTGCCTATTGGGGCCAGTGGGGGAGATGGCTCCCTGGAGGGCTAAGCCCAACCAGCCATTCCTCCCCATCCCCGCATATTTCTCTCCTCCTGCTCCCTCACATCTTCACACAAAAATGCACATAGGACCTTGGGGGGTGGGCAAGTCAGGGAGTGCGGGTATGGACCCCATTTCCGCATTCCTGTGGCAACCTGCCCCCCAATTTTATTTGCACATTAAACACTTCCACCGACGACATTCCACGCAAACACACACTTAGAGCCTTGGGAGTGAGCACATTCAACGGCACTTGGCAGGGGGATTTCTCAGCCTCCTCCCGAGTGCCGGTGCCCACTTCCAATTTTAAACTGCACTTAGACACCGAGGGCTGTGGGTGCAAGTGGGGTGGTGCGGTGGCATCAGCTGGCATAGGCCGGACAATGCCCACACTGCCCGCTCACCACAGCCATGGAATACACCTCATTAACACACACTAACACTATAATGGAGCAGGCGGAGGGAGACTAGGGGTCTTAGCACACCTCTGTTGTTGCTTGGCTTCCTGGGGCTGGAGGCTAGGAGGGAGATCTGGCCATCTGGTTGGGGTCTGGGGTGGTAGGTTGCTGTACTCAGCGTTGGGCGGGGGAGCCTGCTCATCAGCACCCCAGCAGAAAGGGTCAAACTCTGGGAACCGGTAATGGTTGTACCCAGTGTGCAGCAGTACCGGGACCAGAGTGAATAGGGTGTGTATGGGGAGCATGAGTGGATGTCCGGCGTGCATTTTTGTAAGTCTTTGGTTGTATGTGCATGTGTGAGCATGAGGGAGGGAGCGTGTGACTGTGTTTGTGTATGACTGTATATGTCAGGTGGGGCCTTTGACTCCTCCCCTCTCCTGGGACTTCTTTTGATGATATAGATCTTCGTCCCCCCTCCCCCTGCCACACCTGGTGTGGGGTGTAGTGCCTTGGTCTGCCTGAGTGTCCGTGGCTCCCGGGTCAGGGGGTTTAAGATTTTTGGCATCTGCCTGATCATTCCCGGTGGCGGCCTGGTGGGGTCTGGGTCCCTGGGCTCTGCTGGGTCCCCGGCGGGGGTGGTCGCCCCTGGGTGTCAAGAACCGAGTTCAGAAGACCCGTGAAGACGCCAACACAGTAAAAATATATTAAAAAGTCTTTATTTAATGCAGAGGTACCTGGAGGGCAAGGCTGAGGCAGGTTCAGAGGCAGGCTAAGGTCAAAGTGGCAGGCAGAGAGCAAGGCAGGGGTCAGGCAAAAAACAAGGTCCAGAGGCAAAGATCAGGCAGGGTGGATGGCTGGAGAACTACTGGCAAGGCTGTAATAATCTGGCATCTGTTGACTGGATGGCTGGTTCTTTTATAGCAGGGGAAGCAGGTGAATGGGATGAGGCTGATTACAGGAGCAGGTTGAATGAATGGAGCTGAATGAAGCTGACAGGTTGCTGGGGAAAGCAGGGCTTGGCTGGAGCTTGGTGAGAGGAACCAGGTGAGCTGAATGAAGGTATAATGAGGAAGTGGAGGAGGGTGAAGGATGGGAGTCATGACAGAACCCCCCCCCCCCCCCCCCCCCTCAAGGGCGGATACCAGACGCCCACAGGAAACCAGAGCAGGGTGGGAGGAGGGGGACCAGGAAGGAGGGCCAGAGCAGGGCGGGAGTAGGGGGACCAGGAAGGAGGGCCGGAAGGGTCTGGGGGGCCGGCGACGGGGAACCAGGAGCCGAGACAGTGGGAGTCTGGGGGGTCGGCGACGGGGAACCAGGAGCCGAGACAGTGGGAGTCTGGGGGGCCGGCGACGGGGAACCAGGAGCCGGGACCGTGGGAGTCTGGGGGGCCGGCGACGGGGAACCAGGAGCCGGGACCGTGGGAGTCGGGGGGGCCGGCGACGGGGAACCAGGAGCCGGGACCGTGGGAGTCTGGGGGGCCGGCGACGGGGAACCAGGAGCCGGGACCGTGGGAGTCTGGGGGGCCGGCGACGGGGAACCAGGAGCCGGGACCGTGGGAGTGTGGTGACAGAGGACACTGGACCAAGACTAAGACTAAGACTACGAGGGGACACTGGACCACGACTAAGACTACGAGGGGACACTGGACCACGACTAAGACTACGAGGGGACACTGGACCATGACTAAGACTACGAGGGGACACTGGACCACGACTAAGACTACGAGGGGAGACTGGACCACGACTAAGACTACGAGGGGACACTGGACCACGACTAAGACTACGAGGAGACACTGGACCAAGACTAAGAGGGGACTCTGGACTACGACTAAGAGGGGACTCTGGACTACGACTAAGAGGGGACTCTGGACTACGACTAAGAGGGGACTCTGGACTACGACTAAGAGGGGACTCTGGACTACGACTAAGAGGGGACTCTGGACTATGACTAAGAGGGGACTCTGGACTACGACTAAGAGGGGACTCTGGACTACGACTAAGAGGGGACTCTGGACTACGACTAAGAGGGGACTCTGGACTACGACTAAGAGGGGACTCTGGACTACGACTAAGAGGGGACACTGGACTACGACTAAGAGGGGAAAGTGGACTACGACTAAGAGGGGAAAGTGGACTACGACTAAGAGGGGACACAGACACTAGAGACTGGGGAACTAGAGGCTGGGGAACTAGAGACTGGGGAACTAGAGACTGGGGAACTTGAGAGCAGGAGAGGTCCTCTTCAGAGCAGGGGCAGGAGAGGTCCTCTTCAGAGCAGGGGCAGGAGAGGTCCTCTTCAGAGCCTGGAGGTGTCGACCCTTGGACTGGAGGCTCGTGGAAAGGTTTCACCGGAGCCCCTTGGACAGGCTGGGCCGGAGCCCCTTGGACAGGCTGGGCCAGGGCCTCTTGGACCTCATCCGTCGAAGCAAGATGCGATGCGTCCTCCCGGACCACCGCCAGAGCAGGATGCGATGCGTCCTCCCGGACCACCGCCAGAGCAGGATGCGATGCGTCCTCCCGGACCACCGCCAGAGCAGGATGCGATGCGTCCTCCCGGACCACCGCCAAAGCAGGATGCGATGCGTCCTCCCGGACCACCGCCAGGGCAGGATGCGATGCGTCCTCCGAGACCACCGCCAGGGCAGGATGCGATGCGTCCTCCGAGACCACCGCCAGAGCAGGGTGCGATGCGTCCTCCGAGACCACCGCCAGAGCAGGGTGCAATGCGTCCTCCGAGACCACCGCCAGAGCAGGGTGCGATGCGTCCTCCCGGACCACCGCCAGAGCAGGGTGCGATGCGTCCTCCCGGACCACCGCCAGAGCAGGGTGCGATGCGTCCTCCCGGACCACCGCCAGAGCAGGGTGCGATACGTCCTCCCGGACCACCGCCAGAGCAGGGTGCGATGCGTCCTCAGAGACCACCGCCAGAGCAGGGTGCGATGCGTCCACCGGGACCACCGCCGGAGCAGGATGCGATGCGTCCACCGGGACCACCGCCGGAGCAGGATGCGATGCGTCCACCGGGACCACCGCCGGAGCAGGATGCGACACGTTGGAGGGTTCTGGGGAAGGTGACCACCTCTCACAGCAGGTCAGACCCTCCATGGCGACATCCTTCAGTGCAGACCCATATACCCTCCGGACATAAAGGTAGTAATTACCAAGTGCTGGGACCGCTATCAACTCTGGATGGGTGGAGAAGATGACATTTAACCTATCAGCCGCCCGCAGACGTAAGTGGGGGCAGGTTGGCTTGGCAAAGACCTCCCACACAGCCTCCTCGACCATCTGCATCATCCCCTGAACAATCTCCTCCGTCGGGACCGGTCCAGAAGCAGAACATGAGGTGCCGTACGTGGAACCCGCCGACACCAGCACGGGAGAAGGATTAACTCTCTTATCAGCTCCAGAAAACCTCCGGGACCGCCGCCGTCGTGACCTGACAGGAGGGGTTTGAGGCTGGAGCGGCGTGGTCATGAACCCGCTGCACAAGACGTTTGCAGCAGGCCTGGACAGAGGAGTGGAGCCTCTGCATGGCTCTGGCCTGATGGCCAGCCGCGTTCCCCAGAACGGTGACTCCTGCTCCTTCTCTAGCTCCATAAACTCCAGGAGCATGAGATCCTCCATGACAGGTACGATGAAAAAAGAAAAGAAAAAAAATACTCCAAGTGCTGTGTCAGCGTTGGGTCAGATTTTTGGCCAGATTATTCTGTCAAGAACCGAGTTCAGAAGACCCGTGAAGACGCCAACACAGTAAAAATATATTAAAAAGTCTTTATTTAATGCAGAGGTACCTGGAGGGCAAGGCTGAGGCAGGTTCAGAGGCAGACTAAGGTCAAAGTGGCAGGCAGAGAGCAAGGCAGGGGTCAGGCAAAAAACAAGGTCCAGAGGCAAAGATCAGGCAGGGTGGATGGCTGGAGAACTACTGGCAAGGCTGTAATAATCTGGCATCTGTTGACTGGATGGCTGGTTCTTTTATAGCAGGGGAAGCAGGTGAATGGGATGAGGCTGATTACAGGAGCAGGTGGAATGAATGGAGCTGATTGAAGCTGACAGGTTGCTGGGGAAAGCAGGGCTTGGCTGGAGCTTGGTGAGAGGAACCAGGTGAGCTGAATGAAGGTATAATGAGGAAGTGGAGGAGGGTGAAGGATGGGAGTCATGACACTGGGTCCCGGGTCGCTGGGTCCCGGGCTCGGCCGGCTAGGGGGTGGGAGGCTGCGGGCGGGCCTGAGGGCTTGCTGCTGATGTCTCCCAGGACTGTGCCAGCTGCTGGCTGTGCCCCCCCAGGGGCGATCCTCTGTGCCTCTCGAGGGGGGCGGGGCCTTTCTGGTTGCAGTCTCCTTGGGGTTCCTGTGTTCTGGGGCAGCGCCTGGATCTCTGGGACTTGGAGCTCCCCCCGTCTCCTACGCATCTTTGGGGGGCAGGTCTGTGGTCCCTTGCACTCTCTATTGGACGCTCTTGTAGAGAAACCTGACATAAGCAAGCGCGTTTACACACACAGGTGCTCACATGGTGCTCTTAAAAGTATGGACTTGGGCACGTTCAACACAGGTCTTAAGACTATGGTGGGCACTAAATGCACTGTGATTTATTATCGTGTGATTGTTCAGTTAAACAATGTTGATTATATATTTCTTCATCAAGTTGACACAGTGATAGCTTGATCTTGTTGTATTGCTGTTGTGTCCCATATTATTATTATTTTTTTTGTTGCTTTTTTTCTTGTCTCTTTCTGCAGGTCTAGAAGCAGACTCTTGTTCATTATTATTTATTTTTGTGGAACCCCCCCTCTCCCCACCTTTTGTCTTTTCCTTTCTCTTTCACCTCTGACTCCATGCCTGGTCGGAATTACAACGCATTCAAAAACAATAACAATAAAGTTTTAAGTATCAGGTGGGACATTAAAAGCAGACGCTTTGATGCTCCACCTGAGAGTACATCTGTAAGGCTTGTTACCAGCATTCAGACATCAATTCTGTTTGCTTCACAGCCAGACAGGACACGGTAAAAAAAAAAAAAAGAAAAAACAGCTTAGCTCCCACCTCCGTGTTAGCTTTGGGTTAGCTTCAGGTTAGCTTGTAGCTAGTTCGACCGGGTGTCGTCAGTTGATCCCAGCCTTGCAGCCCCACCCTCAGCTCCTCCTCTCTTCCCTTTTATGGAATGGTCTGGGCTTGACGGAACCTGTGACACGGTCAAAATGGCGGTGGTGGCCACCTCCCATTTATCTTCAAAAATGTATTATTGGAGTCTATGGAAACCCATTGTCACATATTTATATGTTGATGTGTGTGACGTACGCTACTCGGCGCTGACTGGCTCAGTTAGAATTCTCAGGGGGTGGGGTTATTTGAACAGAAGAGTTCCCAGACCCTTTCTCTGTGCAGAATTAAACAGAGGAGTCTGGTAGACCAGGCTAGTTCAGCCATGCCGAGAACATTTGAATAAAATGAGGATGAGGTGCAGAAAACCTGAAATAAAATCAAATTTGACACTGAAAAAGTAAAAAACTGCACAATTTTCTGACAAATTTCACAATTTATGTAAAGGTTTCATGTACACAAAACCCTTAAAAATAATTTCTTTTGCACAATTTTTGCAATTATGTGTCTCCATCTATGAGCCCAATCAGAAAAAGGCTTGATCAAAACAGACACTTTCCAGAGTCACAATAGTCCAATACATGCTTCTATAATCCTGGTTTCTACTTAAGATAAAGTTATAACCTACTGAAGTATGTCACTTTTTCTGAATCCCGCTTAAATCTGGGACGTGAAAGTGGAGCAATTCAAGTATTAACATTAAAATATCTGGAAAATAGCACAGCATTTACCCAGAGAATAAAAAATATTTATATAACATCCAAACTAAAGGTGGACGAAGGTGTGAGTGTTAGTAATAAACCCACGCTGGCTTCTGCAGGTCTGAATTCCTGCGGTGAGTTCTCAATTTTAAATAGAAAATCAAAACTGTCAGGTTTTATTCTAAAAAGAGAAGAAATACTCCGCTGCTGAATGAAAATACTGTAGGGTGACACATTTTTGAATCACTTGACACATGGACGATAATACAAAGAGGTGCACTCCGTCTGCGGTGCACTGTATCATCAGCTCACACATTCTTCTCACATTAGAGAATTACATCCCATGTTTGCTTCTCTTCTCGAAAGCATCTCAAAAATGTATTTCTGTTTCTCTTTTATCTGTCGTCGTGTTTAATGGGAATGTTCGTGTTTCAGATCTGATTCTAAACCAAACTGAAATGTGAAAGAACAGCATTGTTGGGCAGATCGACAGATTCAGAGAGACGAAGAGAGCTGTTGAGTCATGGAACAAAGAGTCTGTCACACTTATGTAATCACCATCTCTGGAATATTTCAGGGTAGCACATGGAACCAGAAACATGTCTGCTTGACACCTTTGAGAAGTACAGAAGGATGCTCCAAAAGAATTTAAAAAAATGCTGAACAGATGTGAAATTCAGTCCTGCAGCGTAGCATATGTGGAGCTTATTAGATGTCTTTTCTTCACAGATGTATCCCCTCGGTATGATCTCGGTGTCCTACGACGACTGGGAGTACCCGCTGGAGACACGGGTGAGGGATGGGGTGGGCATCATCTCCTCTGCTGCCACCTCCATGCTGAAGGAGAAGGGAGAGCTGCCAGAGGCCCAAAGCAGCTGCTTCAGCAAGCCGTCAGATAGGAGCCCCGGGAAGCTCCCTCCTAGTGCCCTACGCAGGTGTGTGTGTGTGTGTGTGTGTGTGTGTGCGTGTGTGTGCGTGTGTGTGTGTGTGTGTGTGTGTGTGTGTGTGTGTGTGTGTGTGTGTGTGTGTGTGTGTGTGTGTGTGTGTGTGTGTGTGTGTGTGTGTGTAAGGAGATCAAGGTCTGGGGACTTGCATAACTCAGTCTGTCTTTGCAGCTCGAGTTCAGCAGTCTTGCGTAACTCTTTAATGTTCTAATGAGGGAAAGTGTGGAGAAGGGAAGCAGCAATGACAGCAATGTTAAACTCTGTGATGTCTAATGACATTTAACACTGTCAGCTTTTGTGCAAAGGGTGGCTCAGTTTTTCAGTCAATTGTGTCTGCTTGTCTGAGAGACAAAGAGCTGTATATCAGACAGAACTTTATGGTTTTACTGCTCTGAGCCTCACGTGAGGATCTTTCTACACCGATTACATGTTCCATCTGGACTAACCCTGACTTCACACCGGAAGCATCAGTGGAGCGGAACGGCAGCTGACAGGTTTACTTGTGACTTTCACGATGTGCCAGTTTACACAGGGAGAATCTCAGCCGTGGAGCGACTTCTCTGCCGTGCTGGACTCACAAGCTCACAAAATCCCTCGACTTTATGCCATCCGCCATTAAACCAAAAAGAAGGAAATCACGTTTGATATTGCTATTTGATGTCATAGATGATGTTATTTCTTTCCACTGACAGAATTTAAGCCAATGAAAAACAAACCTCTGCTCTTTTTAAACAATTCTGGGATTAAATAAGCCATTAGGCCACTTGTATTGGTGTAATCTACATAGATATAAAATCACATCTCTGCAATAGTCTCCTATTTTGAAAATTATGTTTATGTTTATTTATTTGGCAGACACTTTTATCCAAAGCAACTTACAATTTATAACCTGTAGGGCATGTTGTGATCTGTGGGGGAAACCGGAGTACCCGGAGGAAACCCACGCATGCATGGGGAGAACACGCAACTCCACGCTGAAAGGTCGCAGCCCAGCCGAGTTTCGAACCTGCAGCCTTCGTGCTGCGAGGCAACAGTGCTAACCACTGCGCCACCATGCAGCCCAATTCCCGAAAATTACCGGGAATGTTACACAGAAACCGTATGTGATTTCCTGTCTAGCCCTGTGTTAACTGCAGAAATAGTTGTGGCCCAGAAGCGCCGCATTGCAAAAATATTACCCGATCCTATTTTCAGCAGAGTGGCGCGGTGCCGCTTCTGGGACGCACCTGAAAATCTCTACGTCGCGTTTGAATCACCCCATAGACTATAATGGATTCTAATTAAAGCAGTGATGTTCTGATCCCGTTCTACGCCACCGATGCTTCCAGTGTGAAGTAGGGGTAAATGTCACTAAAGGAGCAGTTTTGGATCCTTTGTAGGGATTTTCTGGGGAAATGTTATGAACTATTAATATCTTACCTGTTGTAGATAGCTGCTTGAATATTCTCAGTTCTGTCTCAAAACAGATCTAATCTAAAAATATCTGAATTGCTTTAGAGTTTTCATTACATGGTCAATATGGCAGGGACAGTCATTGGTGCGCTCAAGGGGTGGCCAGGAGAGGTCATGGCAACCCTAGGACAACATGTTGGACACATTCATGTTCACACAAACTATACATTTGTCTTCAAAGCCTAAATGGCAAATCCCAAAAATACATTTATTTTAAATTATAAATATTTAATAAATCATCATTTAAAAATATATGTAACACTGAGGCTCCGTATTTTCAAGAAAGTCTAAATCACAAAATTTTATGTGGATATTTTGTCGAGATGACAAAAAAACAGATTAAACTGTTTTTAAATTCTAAAAAAATCTAATCTGAAACAATAACTGAGGAAACTGTTGCCACCCCAAGGTTTTCTCTGGCCCCTCTGCAAAAACTGTCTGGAGGTGCTGCTGAGTAAACGGTTGATGTCCTGTGTTTGAAAAGCGCCATCTTAGGGTTCTACAACCCCCCAAGGCGCTTCACAACACAGTCATTCACCCACTCACATACGCATCACACACTGGTGATGATGAGCTACAATGCAGCCACAGCTACCCTGGGAGCGGAAGCAAGACTGCCGAACACAGGCGCCGCCGGTCTCTCCGACCACCACCAGCAGGCAAGGCTGGTTAAAGCTTGGTTTATGCTTGATGCATTCACTTTCCGCGCGGTGATGCGGCTCGCGGATGGAACGCGCTTCGCAACTTGCAGCGTTTATGGTTCATGCGGCTTGTCTCTGCGGTGAGCCAATATTCTCCCAAACTGTAGGGGGCAGCATGGAGCTCTAAGGAATGCATCCAACACTACACCATAGTAGAAGTAGAAATTACTGTTTACAACATGGCATTCCAGCATTTTTAACAGCGTCCTCGTCTTTTCCGACAGTCCGAGCTATTTCTCTCCAAGAATTATTAACAACATGTTGATCACGGTGATCTCTGAGAGCTGAATCATACAAATGTCTGTGTTTACGAACCTCTGCCATACTAGTTCTTGCCGGTCCGCCATGTTTTTCCACATCCGACCGGACGGCGTGGTTAGAAAATTTCCTAGGTGCGTGGTGCGGAAATTTTGGGCCGTGCGGAGGCGCAGTGGAAGGGCGTGGTTGTTAAAATGACGCAATTTTGCCACGCAGACCTCGCGGGCGTGTCAAGCATAGACCAACCTTTAGTGTCTTGCCCAAGGACACAAAAGCAGCGTTCTCTGGTGGGAGCCAGGGTCGAACCTTGGACATCCCGCTCTACCCCGTGAGCTGCTGCTTGCAATTATTTAATCTGAAAAAAATGGGAGTATCAAAAGTCGTATAAATTGGTTTTAGTCTTTTTAAAATCAACAATTACTAGCTCCGCCTTGCCTTTAGCCTGTCAATTTGGTCTTTTTCTTTAAATTTAGGACATTTGCAACGTGCATTATATGAATTGTCATGACCCCTTCTATAGACGCCCACATTGAAAGTCAGCAGCTTTTACTTGTTTTGTCCTTTCTCTTATTTTGGTTACCCTGCGGTAGCTGGCACATTTGTGCTTTTTCTGCATTCACATTAATGTGCACATCATATTCCACATGCACCTTGTTACATAGTGAACATGAACAAATGTAAGGAACGTTTGCCGCGATGCTTCCTGTTTGTTGCTCTTATATTGTCGCTGCCTTGTGGATATGAGGCATCCAGTGGCCAAAACATGATTATAAATTCAGAAGTCTATATTAAACTAACACATAAAGGTCATGCAGCTCAGCTCTGTTTGTCCATAATGACTTCTGAATTACCTCATTAGAACAGAGAACACGGCTTCATTTTCACTATTAGGGCTTCAATCCCATGTCTTCTCATTATTACTTCAATAAAATATTTAAGGTATATATTATTGCAACTTAAACAGTAGAAAAAAGGTCGATTTTTTTATATTTGTCTTTTCAGTTAGAGTTACTTTATTTGTTGTAAAGAAAGCAACTGAAGGCAGTTTTGGGATACTGAACTGACAGTTTGGCTTTCCTTACCCTGAGATGGAAACACTGTGATCAGAATCCTGCATACATTAGTCTAGATTCCAGCTTGCTGCAGTGTGAATATGAACAGCAGAAGGTGGAGAGGAAGGACCAGGAGAGTGTAATCCTGCACTTTGAGGACACCACCCAAACTGCCGGGCCTCCCGTTGCCGCAGCTTCACTCCACAATGGCACCTATTTGATATTTTTAAAATTAACAAATCACTTTGTATTCCTTTTGATGTAACTAGTATATGACACAACCCTCAAAGCTGTCACTCCCATACTTGTTATGAAATATTTTTTAGTGGACACCAGAATTAGTTTTAGCTAACTGCTAATGGCATCAGTATCACAGAAGCAGCTTTTATTTTTTTCATTTTCCAGTCGTGCATTTGAACCAAATGAATCATTGCTTCTTCTTTAAGTTTTTCCAACAAAGTAAGCCTGCAGTTATTCAGAATGCAGAGTTTTAGCATAGCTGTCATGTTCTCAGACACTGGATGACATGCAAACATAAATATTTGAAGAATTGACTTGATGTACATGCCTCAAATACACACCAGCCTCATGCCTGCAGATCAAAAAGTTGTTTTCCCCTCTTTTATTCTACAAAATGTCTGAAACAGGAGGAGACAGCAGTTTCCCAGAATAGACTGCAACAGTGTTTCCGCTGTATGTATTCAGCCGTGGCGATTAGCTGCGACAAGGGCATCACCTGCTGCACCGTGATGACGTTTCAAAAATAAAAAAAATAGATATTTATTTCCACATGTTGCTAATAACTCAGAACCATTGAGCTCTCTAACAAAGGCAGCTTCAGTTACCCAGCCCAGGAGACTCTGTTACAGTGCATTGTGCAGATTTGTGTGTTGTTTAGTATTCTTGCAGCTTCTACGTGGACTGCGATCTCTTGTGTAGTTGCTTCACAGCGAGTGGAGCGTTCCATGAAAGAGACAAGAAGCAGACCTGTTCCTGAGTCTTTTTAAAAGCAGAAGCACCTCTCGAACGCACAGCCCGACAACACTGTCGGCTCTAATAACTCTCCTGCAGATGAGACAACATGAAATCCCACCTTTTTGATTTGAGAGTAATTACCATGTTTTTTACCTGCAGGGTGCATCTTAAGCAGCACTCGCATAATTCCTCTCATGCATCTTGACTTTCTGTCACAATATTTGAGTTTACGCATGAATCCTTCATGGCCTTGTGCCTAGTAAGCTCACAGAAATAAGAGCTGTTCAAGATGGCTGCTTTAACCCTTGCTCTAAAGTGGTTAAAAAAATGCAGAACATGTACATTTTATTTAAGATATAAGATCTTCATTTACTTTGAAGGTCTTGCACTTTTATTCTTTTGATGTTTGCTGCTTTTCTAATCATTTCTACAAAGCTTTATGGAGGAGTAGTTTACTTGGCCATCTGCGTTGAACAAGATTCATGCAAGTGCATTCTGCCTGCCAGACTAACTCTGATCTTTGTGTCCATCTTATTTAAGGCAATGACTATTTCTCTAAAGTGCTGACCATATTCCTTGACATATTTCTACGCAGATGTAGCATTACTGTCTTTGCTGGTCAAATCATGCTGAGAATGTGGAGTAAATAAGACAGAAAACTAATACTTGTAGCTTAATCTTCAGTTGCAATTACTGATGTGGATGGACTGTCTCTCATTCTGGGCAGCAACGATGCTCTCAAAAAAATATATATGTGTATATATATATATATATATATATATATATATATATATATATATATATATATATATATATATATATATATATATATACATTCCAACTGAGTCCGGTCACTTTGCAGAGTGATCCAGGTTGTGTGTAGGCACCCTGCTTGCATTTAATAGAAGTCACAAACTGGTTTCTTTGTCTCACAAATTGACGTTATGTCCTGATTTGACACTACTGGAAAGATGTATACTGACGCCGGGCTTATTATCTAATCACGACACGGTAGTTTCAGAGTAAATCAGGGAAACTGTTTATAAATGAAAATGTACGTTTCTGCCGGCTGACTATGAGAAACATGCACAAACAGAACCAGTGATTTAGGGAGCTTAGTGCTGTCTTCTCCTGGCTTTGATTTAAATTAAATGATATTCTAATAACTGTTTGCACATAATAATGAAGTACACTAGTTGGGTTAAAGCGTTGAGTTGTTGAAGTGAAGGTAAATGCTGGTTCATTCTGTATCGGTTACAAAAGCTTTAATATCACTGAGCTTTGTCCTGACATCTCCCACGTATTTGCATGTGATGCCAGAAGGATCCTCTGATCTCATGAGTTAAAAATATAAAAAAGGGGGACGTTATGACATAAATAACCATTTTAAGACCTGAGAGTCATTCATGTTAGGGCTGTCAAACCTTCATATTAACAAGGATCTTTTTTTGTCACCAAAAAAAAAATTAATAAAAAAATATTAGAAGCGAGGATGATGCATCTCAATTCTTTAATTCTTTGATTCTTCCAATATGTGCCTGCATACAGTGTCCGATCACTGTAGAAAATGCACAATGTATTCCCATGGTCTGGTGCAAAAGATGGATATACAATAAGTGGAAATGCATCCAAAATCTGAAGGAAAAGTTTTGAAGGACATTCAGAAAGTTAAAAACGCTTTTTAAAAATCAAGACTAGTTTCAAAGCTCATGAGAAAAGCTGGCATATGAGAAGGAAAAGTGAGCTATGGCGTAGTAAATTTTGTTTCTATCTTAATTAAAGAGCAATTTAACTGAGAAACTATTTTTTACTTGCTATTTTTTAAATATGATCATGCAAGGTAAATGTGAATATATCCTTCTACTGCTATTTTTTTCTGCATTAGCCGCCAGGATTGGAAAAACCAGTCAGATTGATGTCACACTGAAAATTAGCATTCATGGACTCGCCCATCTTGACTAACGATGTGGAAGGCTGTTGTTTTTGCAGTCAGGAGAGAGTAGAGCACACCCCGGCTAGTCGAAGCTAACCGTTAGCATTAGCAACTCCATCACACAGCAGAACTCCTTCAGGCTTGTGTTATTTGTAAACTTAAAATATTGACAATGCAAAGCAAACGGTCAGTGGTAGAGTCACGTTGCTGTTAGCCAATTAGAGGAGAGATATCTAAATATCAGGAAATAAGGCATTCCTGCTGTTTTCTGCTCACCTCTCCTCTAGCATGTACAGCAGCATGAGATTTGACAATGTCTGGATAAATCAAACTGTTCCTCCAAAAACAAAAGACATTTGAGACAATGTTGTGTCCATCTTGTGATTTTACCTATTCTCTAAACATCCTTAGACAGCCCGTCTTTCCTATTACCCCGTGTTTCAACACTCAGATCATCCTTACTTTCAGATTTTTTTCTTTCTTTTTTAGTGAGTTTATTCTTAATCCCTTATGACTGAAAAAACTGCCTCATTTCTCCTTTCTACTGCTTCGTTTTAGTGTGTATAAATGTTTCAGTGAAGGATGTGTTGGTCGGATGGCTGTAGTGAGTAAGAGAGCGAGTGCAGCCTGGGTGCACCAGTGACTTTTCTTTCAGGCATATATCTGTTGAGAAATCAATGTAGAATGTTGATGGGAGAGATCTGCGGCCTCTGACTCTCCCCCTCCCACTCTCACACACACACACACGCACGCACACGCACACACACACACACACACACACACACTAAAGCTGGCACATGCATGTGGTGGGAGAAGACAGCATTGATTTTAGTAGGATACTGTAACAGTGATTACTGAGTGTTTAACTTGTTATTTCAAATCTGCTTCTGTGCACAAACCGTGAAAGATGCAAAACAACAGCTTCCCACTCCCCCGTTTCCCGTGTGTTTCAGACACATGATGCATGTGTGGAATGAAGGCCGAGATCTATCTTTTACTCCAGATGGTTACCAGGCCAACCCCAAATTGGTTGTCATCGTCTTGAACAGTGAAAGGAAATGGGAGAAGGTAATAAACGAACATGGGGCAGCTAAATTTAAAGCAGATGCTTAATATAGACGCTTGTGCCTGATTTTGTGTGTGTGTTTTCGCCCGTGTAGATGGGCCGTTGGGAAAACGGGACATTGTCTTTGATGTTCCCCGTGTGGCCGCGGTACAACGCCCACGGGGATGAGGATGCTGATGAAAACCACCTTTCTATTGTCACCTTGGAGGAGAAACCTTTTGTGATCGTGGACAACGTGGACATCCTCACCGGTACCTGCATGAGGAACTCCGTGCCCTGTCGGAAACACATTAAACTGTAAGTACCGTCCCGCTCCGCATGTTTCTGACGCCTCTGAATAAAATAAAGAGAATATTTTAAGCCTTGTAAAGATATCAAAGTACTTGGGGTTCCTCAGGAGGTGAAACAGGTAATTTGGTCTGAAATGAGCCAACTCTCAGATGGCTAAAGGTGAAGCAGGATGGTATTTATTGTTCTCAGAAACACATTACGACCCCCCGTGTTTGCTGCTTTTCTGCGTTTACATCTGTTTGTGATTTCTCTGGAACCTTTTTCACTCTTCTCAGGCTGTCTGACAACATAATTGTCAGTCAGCTGCACTTTGCTCCTCCATCCTGGGCCCACTTGTTTTTACTTTATATAATAATGACTCACCATCTGTTTATGCTTCAGACTCACAACCTGATGTATGTAGCTGGCACTGCAATAAATATCCGTGGCTCTACATTTATTTGAAGGCTGAGCATGTCCCATTTAGATATCTGAGGACCAATTCTAGCGGCATTAATAATTAATTGCTCTCTGTTGCTGTTAGCATGTTAACGACAACCTGTAATTGCAAGTGTAACCCATTTTTATTTGATTGTTCTATTAGTTCAGCTTGATTTGTGTTTTATTTTAGTTCTTAGAAGCACGCTGGCTTTCAATTATTACTGCAACATTTTCTATGTGTTGTTCCTATTTGGTTCTATTTATGGAAAGAGTGAGCTGCTTACTTGTGTTTTATTTCAGTTTGTCTTTTTCAAGAGCTTGAGTTTTTGTCAATGGCTAATAAAAAAGGCTAAATCTAAAAGATAAAGATTGCCAAATTGCTTGCTTTGATATTTTAATCTAAGAAAATACAAAGCTTAGTATAAAACAACTCAGTACTTTTATTTTGAATTAAAAGGTTATTAGAGGTAATAAGTAGGGATGTCCGAAATTATTGGTCTACCAATATTATCGGCCGATATTGACATTAAAATGTAATACGGGAAAATATCAATATCGGTTTTACTCCTTGGTGACCCAACTTTTACATACCATGCACATATTACACATCAAACTGTTCGGCTTCATCTCCTCTCTTTTAAAATGCAAAAACATGACAGATCTGAACTTTAGTGTTTGAGATATTTTTGTTTTATTTGGCACAACTTGTGAATAATTACTGTAGGAATTTTCTTTGTGTAAAGAGGATCTGCTGTTTTTAGACAGAGCTATATAGCTAGCCAGCTAGCATCCAACTAAAGCAAACACAAGAATCTTCACCCAAGGTTTGCTTTTCTTACACGAAGATCTTTGTAAATGTTTTATCACCGCAACTACAATATATGGAAACGGAAAAAATACTGGCAAACACATGTTGTGTCGTGCATAGCACTAGGGCTTGTGAACACACATGATTACGCATAGAATTCTGAGATGTGCGCAGATATGTTGGCGGCCTTACGGGTGTAAACAAACTGTGAAAACAAACAGTAAGTCGCAGAGAAGAAGTGGATTTGGTTGAAATGAAATGTTAAACAACATGTTAAAATCCTGAAAATGATGCACAAAATACAGAAATACGTTAAATAAAGACGTTGGGGACCAGTATGTTGATAAAGTCATCATTATAAACGGTTTGGATCCATATGAAAGACCCAAGACTGGAGCACCATTGACAACTTGTTGTCGCCACAGCGCTGCATAACGGATATTTTCGGCTTTCTTGTTTGTGGTGTGAGCGGATGTAAATGTCCGGATGAGAGGTAAACGTTTTTTTGCTGGTTTTTCTAGTTAATCAAAGTTGTCATTCCGTAGAATCAGGAGGAGTTGTGTTGGGTGTCAGCGCGCCCGCATTAGCTTACCGGTGTGTGTGTGTGTGTGTGTGTGTGTGTGTGTGTGTGTGTGTGTGTGTGTGTGCGTGTGTGTGTGTGTGTGTGTGTGTGTGTGTGTGTGTGTGTGTGTGTGTGTGTGTGTGTGTGTGTGTGTGCATGTCGCGGTTGAAGGAAAAATACGATGTATAAAAACCGTACACCATCTACCAGAATGGCAAAACTCCGGAAGGTGATGTTCGGTTGCCTTACAGCTGAGATCCAAGCGAGCCGACGAGACTTTTTCATGCTAGATGCTTGGTCTCATGAAAGTGGTGATCTTTTTCCCTGGCAATCGGGTGTTGCACCCCACAACACAGCAACGATTTGCCATGGTGATGTAATGTAACCGATCAAATGAGTAATCGATTAATTTAAGCTGCAAGAACGAGACTGAATGCACTTTTTACAGAAGTAACAAGAAACAAGTAAGGACTTGTAGGCAGCCAACGAGGCGACCACGTCGATGTTGACGTCACAATCACGAGCCCTACTAGCCTAGCTTAGCATGTGTACGATCAACCTGCTTACATTTTATCAACTATGTAACTTTAACACACCCAAATATTCCCTGAACACATCAATACACACAAAGACAAATGTTCTCCATGACACAAACGTATAAAGCAAGATTACCATGTTCATGAGCCATTTACGGTCCCGTTTGTGTCCAGATATAAACACAGTGAGCGTAAGAAAATGGAAACTATGTCAGTGATAGGTCAGAGTTGAGAGCGCTCGCTCTGTTGCATATCGCACAGACAATATAGCAAAGACTGTAACATCTATGTCTCACTTTGATCTGTTTTCGAAACTAAACTATTTTAACATTTTTATCATTAATTCAGTTGTACTATTTATTAAGCTGTTAGTCAAACTTTTTCCCCATCATTAACCTATTAATTATCTGAGGCCCAAAGGCGTCACAGAGCGTTTATCTGGATTATCTCAGGGAGAATGTCATTCAGATGCTGCTGGAGACAAATTAAACATGACATTTTTTTCTGTTACTAATTTAAAATGTAGTGCAATTTTGCTTAAAGCTTAAGCATTGGTGATAGGAGACACATGATGTTTAGCAACTTAAATGATTTATTTATTTCTTTGTTGTTAAGGGAGACCTCACATATCTTGGTATCGGTTTATATCGGTATCGGAAATGAAGAGTTAGACAATATCGAATATCGGTAAAAATGCCAATATCGAATTTTTTTTTTCTGACAAATGAAATAAAATGTGTAACTTTTTTACTTGTTTATTTTCACATCAGTAATCCTCAAAAAGCTCAGCTTCTTTGTGTTGTCATAGTCATCTCAAAAATAAATTTGGATCATTGTTTGAGAACAAAGTCAGACGCCATGACCACTTTTTAATTTGGCCAGCCTTGAATCTGTCACACAAATTTTCGTTGTCCACTCCATGTTGGTGGATTATTCATTTGCTGCCAGGTTGATGATAAATTTGAAGCAACAAGGTTTTATTAACTGTCAATGTGTCAAACATAATGAAAAAAATTAATAAGAGCCACAAACCTTCACTGAGTTCCTCCATAAATCTATCGAAGTGATGTTTCAGGCCAACTGCTCTCTTTCAGACTAGCAAAGAATAAGAAATAAAGATACTCCGAAACTAAACAATTCCTTCATAAAAATGAGCATCTAATTTCACAGAAATTTTAAGCACATAATAAACTTTGTTGTGTTAATTTTATGGACAAACGATATTGGAATTACTGTGATATATTCCACTTTAAATTCCTTTATGCTAAAACAACTTACAACTGCTGATGTGACAATGACAATAGAAAGATAAACATCGGGCTTCTAGTTAGAATTCCTTCTGGACGCCTACCTGGTGAGGTTTTCCAGGCACGTCCAACCAGGAGAAGGCCTAAAGGAAGACCCAGGACACGTTGTAGTGAATATGTCTCACGGCTGGCCAGGAAAAGCCTTAGGATTCTCCTGGAGGAGCTGGCCCAAAAGAAAAAGCCATAATCTCCTGTTTTTGGAGCCTTTGAGTTTGTATTCTAGGAGTCAGGATCTGTGCACTCTTAAGGCCCATTTCCACTGTCGGAACCTCCAGGTAATTTTACACAACCTTCACAGCATGTCTTACTGTCCCTGGGCCAGCCCAGTAGGGAGCCTAAGTCTCCTCCCTTTCAAGGTTGGCTCATGGGTCCCTGGAACAAAAAAACGATTGCAAGTGAATGGCGTTATAAACGTTATTTTCTGATCAGATGCAAACGTTTGAGTAGCCTTGTTCAACTTTCCTGCATATATTGTTGTTACGATAAAAATTTTCAGTTAAATATTCAGTATCATATGTATGTATGTTGTCCCTCAGTTAAAATGGAAAATAATTATGTGTTTTGACTTTGTCACGTAATTAGAGATTTATTTGGTTGTGAAATTCAAATGACAACAAATTACAAGATGCATATACGACGTCGCGTGGCCAGATTAGGTGGTTTTCTGTACACTTACGTAATGCTCCTTCTGTCGTCCAGGAAGAAGCATGCGATTGTGGCTAAACCCACAACCATTTTTCTTCTCCTTGTTTGGTTGGATAATGTAAATTTGTTGAGACGAGCTGTTCTCCACGTTTTTTCACAAAGAAACTAAAATAAGGTTTGCCCCCGTTGGACAGCAAGCGCTTTTGTGGCATCAAAATATGTCTTTAAAATCCACGGACATCATATATGAAATCCATGGCACATATCAAACAGGATCAGAAAACCTTTTTTTTTTCAGACCATAAACTCCCATTCATTTATTTTGGACAGCAGGAGACCTATGGACTAAAGTAGAAGGGGTGGCTTCGAATTCCTATAAGATCACTTTCCATCAAAAATCCCCCCTAATTCACTGTGCTCTTTGGTCTCGTACAACGCTCTGTAAAATAGTTCTTCTTCTGTTCATTGAACGCTGCTTTTTACCTATCACAGTTGCTCTCCTGGTCCCCTGAATACAGGAAATCACAACGTATTTTGACAGAATAAAAGTTTTTTTAATGTAAAAATGCCCATGGATGCCTTTTGCTGCTGATCTCTCACTGACAAAACATTCATAACATGCTGATGTCTTAACAAATTGAGAAAAGGAACGGTAATGTGTGGATACACAACGGCTGAGGTCCGAGCCCTCTCGCCCTTCCCAGAAATTTCCTAGAACTGAGGGCAGA